ACAAGCGTGAGCCTCACAAAGCACTGACTCGCCTTCCCTGCCTGGTGTGTGTCGCCTGTGAGACCACGAGGTGGCGATACTCACAACACTACCGAGGGAGCACTCACTCCATAACCGTAGCGCAAGAGCATGACGCGTGAGAGCACAGCAACGCAGCATAACATGAAAGCACAAGCATGTCGCGAGGTCGGTCGGTTTGTCAGTCAAAAAGCTTGGTCAGGATTTGGTCGGTGATGTCGGGTGGTTCTTGGAGGGATGGGCGGAAAGATCTTCTGGTCGCCAGTGAAGCGCGGGGCTGGGTAAGCTGTCTGGTGTAGCGCTGATGATCTTGGCACTTTGGAGTGCCCGCAGGAGCGCGAGTTTGCGGGTCTCCAGTGAGTGGGAGACGCCGTGAGCGAGGAAGGGCGTCTGGAGAACCTGTGGGAGAAGTGTGCGTTGTATTTGTTGCCAGTCATAGCTGACGAGTAGGAAGTCGGCGAGGAGGTCCCGCGGTAGTTCGAGGTAGCGCAACGCCTGTGCGGCCACGAGCAGCGCGGCGTTCGAGCCGTGGATGGGCACCGAGGAGGCGAGCCACGAGAGGTAGGAGTCGACTTTCTCTAGCGCCGTCTCAGGAATCAGGGCATGCCCCTCCAACGTGTCGGCGCCCACCAGCTGCAGCAGCACCGGCAGTCCCTGCCGCTGCGCGTCGTTCAGCCAACAGGGCGGGTTCATGACCAGTGACCACAGCGCCGCCGTACAGTTCTGTCGCCGCAGCACCGCCCCCGCCAGCGGGTCCAGCGGCAGCAAGCAGGGCATCCCCGCGCGCCGCTGCCCGCCGTGCGTGCGTCCATCACCGTGCGTGCGTGCGTCGTCGTCTTGCGTGCGTGCGTCGTCGTGCGTTCGCCCGTCGTCGTGCGTACGTCCGTCGTCGTCGTGCGTTCGTCCGCCGCCGTCGTACGTTCGTCCGTCGTCGTGCGTTCGTCCGTCGTCGTCGTACGTTCGTCCGTCGTCGTGCGTACGTCCGTCGTCGTGCGCGCGTTGGCCCTTTTGCGAGTGGTGGGGGAGGTATTCGCGCAGGTCGGCGAATGTGTCGGATTCGTTATTGAGGCGGTTGCGCGGGCGGAGGCGCGCGAACTCGTCGAGCGTGACTTCGACGGGGTGGCTCAGGAAGGGACGAAGGTAGTAGAGTAGGCCGTTGCGATGACGTGGGTGGTGGCGTCTGAGTTCGCTGCGTCTGTAGGGGATGCAGCGGCGACGTAGACATTCGGGTCCGCCGAGAAAGTAGGAGGGCGTGAAGCCGATTTCCTGTTCGCAGAATGCGACGAGGAGCGGGAGCGGGACCCGGGCTGCGCACAGGCGGCAGGCCGAGACCCAAATGGCTAGCCGTGTCGGTCCCTCGCCCCGGAGCGCAGTCTGTGCGCGCAGAGTGTGCTCGTCGCACGCCGGGCCAAAGGGCGCCACGATCGAGCCGCACACGAACGCAGCCAACTCTAGGTACTCGCTCGTACACCGCTCGTAGTCCGCAGCCTCCATCGCGCGTAGTCGCCGCTGCGCAGCCGGACCAAACAACCTCCGCAGCGCCGCCGACGCCTCCTCCTCCCGGCCTCCGAACGACCGCGGCTCACGGCCCATCGCAAACAACGTAAACATCGGCGCTACTGGCGGCCGTCGCGAAAACTGCGCCGCCGACACCGCCTGCAGCCGCGTTGGCAACAAGAACTGCACTCTCTTCAGCCCCCGCTGCAGCGCCTCCAGGTCCAGCGCCGGTTCCGTGCGTGCGTCCGCCGCCATGAGTGCGGCAAGTGCTTCGATCCGTGTGGCGCAGACCTTCGCGAGCTCGCCGGGGTCAAGGCCGGCGCGCTGCAGCAGACAGCCGGCGATCCAGGCCTCTTCGCGCGAGGCGGCTGCGGCTGGCGCGAAGGTCACGAGCGCGCTTTCGCGCTGGGCGGGCCGCAGGCCACCGATGGGTGCTCGGAAGAACTCGCAAAGCACCTCGGCGACGTCCGTGAAGCAGAGCACGCAGCGGCGCAGGTCCTTGTGCGTGGTTGCGGCCAATCGTCGCCACTG